TACATACAGTCGAGTCTAGCGGTTCTCAAAGTCTGCTCTGAGGAACCCAGGGGTCCCCGAGGCCCTTTCAGGGGAACTGTGAGGTCCTCCTCTTTCCAGCAACATGTCTCCATGAGGCCACGCATTCTCATGTGCTCCAGTAAATTTTTTTTTTTTTTTTTTTTGCTGAGGAAGATTGGCCCTGGGCTAACATCCATGCCCGTCTTCCTGTACTTTATGTGGGACGCCACGACAGCATGGCTTGACAAGCGATGTGTCAATGTGCACCCGGGATCTGAACCTGCAAACCGTGGGTCACCACAGCAGAGCGCATGCACTTAACCACTGCACCACCAGGCTGGCCTCTTCAGTAATTTTTTATATTGATTACGTGTTGATAATATTTTGAATATATTGGGTTAAATACAATATCTTAGCATTAATTTTACCTGTTTCTTTTTGCCTTTTTAATGTGGGTACTAGAAAATTTAAAACCACACGTGGCCCAGATTTGTGGCTGGCAATTTATTTATGTGAATTCAAAAACAGATTCGAGGATCCGGCTCTCTTAACAAGCCAGATATTAAAGAGATTTGCAAAAATTGCAAAACAATACCACACTTCTCACTATGTTTTTTTTTTCCGTTTTGTTTCAGAAAAGTTATTTTTCATAAAAATATATTTTTTTCTGTTAACCTATAATGGGTTCATCGTTACTTTTAAATGAATTAATAACTGTTTAAAAATTATTGGCAACTTACATCTTCCACTCAATTTTGCTGTGAACCTAAAACTGCTCTGAAAAATAAAGTATTTAAAAAAAAAAAGTAGTGATTAAGAAAGATTAGCCTGAAAGTATGAAGTGTATTAAAGTACATAATCAAAAAGAAATTTTTTTTTAAGTTCAGAATGTATTAAATATTAGTTTTAGTTTCTAATATGGCAAATATAAAGAGAGAGAACCTATATAAATAAAAGCTCTTGGGGGGCCTGAGACCAAAAGGTTTGCTTTAGTCTCATCTTCTCCAGGGGTTCCAGGTGAAATTCAGCTCCAAACTCAAAACCACATTTAGTTAAAATGCTCCCGATGACTCTGGAAGGCACCGTGAAGAAGTCTGGCACTCCGACTTTTGGAGGGTCTGAGCCTTCAGCCCTGGAGAAGGTTGCTATTTGTGAGGTTGGGCCCCAGAGGAAGTGGCCGCCTTGTGCACGACAGTCTGATCACCTTTGGGGGATGTGGCGAGGGTTCGAGATGTTCACGCTGTAGATGCGTTTAGAGACTTGAAAAGCCCCGGGTTCCAGTCTTCCCATCTCATGCTTGCTCTGGTCCACACTGACCCTCTCCACATCGTCATATCCCACTTCACCCCGTGCCCCTCCTTCCCCGATGCCTAGAGTTGCTTGTGCATCAGCCAGTAGATCCCAGAGCGAGGCCTTCAGAGCAGCAGCGGCAGCAGCGACATCCCCGGGAACTTGTGAGAGGTGCGGATTCCCGGGCCCCCCCAGACCTAGGAATCACACGTTCTGGGGCTGGGCCCAGCTGCCCGCGTCCACAAGCCCTCCAGGGGCTGCTGACGCACTCGCTCACCTGTGAGAACTGCCGGTGCAAGCTAAATGCACTCGGGATGTAACTCCCCGTGAACTTGGTGAACGACACTCTGAGGAGACAATCAGACATTCCAGGAGGGAGGACCTTCTGCAAGGAAACTAGTCTTCAGAAAGTCCGTGTCACGGGACTCTTCTGGATTAGAGGAAACTGACCAACGTGGCCAGTTGCAGTGCGTGAACCATAATTGGGTCCTGGTTGGGTGGGGGAAACAGATAGAAATATATTCCTGCATACCTGGGGAAGTTTGAGTGAGGTTATGGAATTTTATATTCTTAGGTATAATGATAGTAGCATGGCGTTGAGGAGAATGTTACTTTATCCTTAAAAGATGAAAGGCATCAGAATTGGAAAGAAAGAAGTAAAACTGTCTCTTTGCAGGTGACATGATTTTATATGTAGAAAACCCTAAAGACTCCACCAAAAACTGGTAGATCTAATCAACGAATTCAGTAAAGTTTCAGGGTACAAAGTTAACGTACAAAAATCCATAGTGTTTCTATACACTAACAACACATTATCTGAAAAAGAAATAAAGCGATCTCATTCACAATGGCGTCAAAAACAATAAGATACTTAGGAATAAATTTAACCAAGGAAGTGACAGATCTTTAAACTGAAAACTACAAGACGTTGATGGAAGAAATTGAAGACACAAAATAAGTGGAAAGGTGTCCCATGTTCATGGTCTGGAAGAATTAATATTGTTAAAATGTCCATAGTACCCAAAGCCATCTATAGATTCAATGCCATCTCTATCAAGATTCCAATGGCATTTTTCACAGAAGTAGAAAGAACAATCCTAAAATCTTTATGGAACCACAAAAGACCCCGAAGCCAAAGCAATCCTCAGAGAGAAGAACAAAGCTGGAGGCATCACACTCCCTGATTTCAAGCTGTACTATAAAGCTATAGTAACCAAGATGGTACGGTACTGGCGTAGAAACAGACTTGTAGACCAGTGGAACAGAATCGAGAGCCCAGAAATAAACCCATGCATATACGGTCAACTAGTGTTGGGTAAGAGAGCCAAGAATACTCACTGGAGAAAAGACGGTCTCTTCAATAAAAATGGTGCTGTGAACATTGTATGTTTGCATGTAAAAGAATGATACTGGAGCCCTATTTTACACCACTCAACAGTGAATTCAAAATGGATTAAAGACTTGAACATAAGACCTGAAACCATAAAACTCCTAGAAGAAAACATAGGCAGTAGGTTCTCTGACATCAGTCTTGGTGATGATTTTTTGGATTTGAGACCAAATGCAGAGGCATCAAAAGCAGAAATAAACAAGTGGGACTACGTCAAACTAAAAGGCTTCTGCACAGCAGAAGAAACCATCAACAAAATGAAAAGACAACCTACAGAATGGGAAAAAATATTTGCAAACCATATATCTGATAAGCGGTTAATATCCAAAATATATAAAGAACTCATACAACTCAATAGCAAAAAATATTCCAATTACAAAATGGGCAAAGGACCTGAATAGACATTTTTCCAAAGAAGACACACAGACGACCAACAGGCACATGAAAAGGTGCTCAACATCACTAATCATCAGGGAAATGCAAATCAAAACCACAATGAGCTATCTCCTCACACCTGTTAGAATGGCTATCACAGAAAGAGATAAAAGTGCTGGCGAGGATGTGGAGAAAAGGGAATCCTTGTGCACTGTTGTTGGGAGTGTAAATTGATATAGCCACCATGGAAAAGAGTACTCAAAAAATTGAAATAGAATTACCATATGATCCAGCAATCCCACTTCTGGGTATTTATCCAAAGGAAATGAAAACACTATGTGGAAGAGATATCTGCACCCCTGTGTTCATTGCAGTATTATCTACAATAGCCAAGACATGGAAACAACCTAAGTGTCCATCAATGGATGGATGGATAAAGAAGTTGTGGTGTATATATATATATACACACATACAGTGGAATATTATTCAGCCACAAAAAAAGAAGGAAATCCTGCCATTTATGACAACATAGATGGACCTTGAGGGCATTATGCCTAGTAAAATAAGTCAGACAGAGAAAGACAAATACTGTATGATCTCATTTATATGTGGAATCTTAAACAAAAACAAAAACCAAGCTCATAGAAAAAGAGATCAGATTTGTGGTTACAAGAGGTAGGGGGAGGGGGAATTGGAGGAAGGTGGTCACAAGGTACAGACTTCCACCTGTAAGATAAATAAGTCCTGGATGTAATGTACAGCATGATGACCATAGTTAACACTGCTGTATGATATATATATATATATATACAGAAAAGTTCTTGAGAGAGTACATCCTAAGAGTGCTCATCACAGGAAAAAAACATTTTTTTTCTTTTCTTGTATCTGTATGAGATGATGAATGTTAACTAAACTTATTGTGGTAATCATTTCACAATGTATGTAAGTCACTATGCTCTATACCTTAAACTTATACAGTGCTGTATGTCAATTATATCTCAATAAAACTGGCAAAAAGATGCATGCTGAAGTGTGATGTGTGCATCTTTCAAATGATTCAGTAAAAAAAAGTACGTGACTAGAGACATGAAGTGAAATATGGCAAGATGTTAACAATTGTTAAACTTGGGTGGTTTCAATTGGAGTATTTATTTTACTGTTCTTTTAACTTTTCTGTTTGAAAATTTTCTTAAGTCGGGCACACAGAAGATGCAGCTCCTCCATTTCACTTCATTCTTAAGATGGGACTTCATGTGTGTGTACCAGTTACGGTTAGGTTTGGCTGTGAGTAACAGAGACCCCAAATAACAGCAGCTTAAACAAGATGGAAGCTTATTTCTCTTTTGTGCAAGTTCACAGGTAGGTGGCTAGGCAGGTAGGTGGCTTGTCCTCAGGACAGAGGCGCCTTCCATGTTATTGCTCCCCAATAGGTGACTTCCCTTCCCCCATGGCCCAAGACAGCTGCTCCCACTCCAGCTATCACATCTACATTCCAGCAGGCCGAAGAGGAGGAGGTAAAGGGCACCTTCCTGCTACTTTTAGGAAAAACACCTTGAAGGGACCACATAACATTTCTGTTTACCTCTCCTTGACCAAAGCTTAGTCATGTAGCTGCAAGGGAGGCTGGGAAACGCCTTTATCCTAGGTAGCCATGTGCCCAGCCTAAAACTGGGCATTTGTTACTATGGAAGACAGGAAGGAAGGAAATTGAAAGACAGTCTGAAGGCTCTTCCCCGCCATGAAAGGTATTTGAAACCCACGACATGGCAGGCAGTCTTATGAGCTGCCCTGTCTTCTCCTAAGACTTAGTCTGAAGGTTAGTGAGGCAGCTTAGTTCCTTGAGTTGTTGCAAAGGCCCAGCAAGTGAGCTGAGCTGCCCAGCCCCGCCTGCAGAGAAACCCTGGGCTCCCTGTAACCAGTCTCTGTCCCTCTTTTCTGTTTGCAGTCTCGAACATGTCCCAGTATTTCAGCCCAGCCTCGGTGGCCAACAGCCCGGCCCGCGCCCTCCTGCTGGTCGGCGCCGTCCTCCTGGCCTACTGGTTCTTGTCTCTGACCCTGGGCTTCACCTTCAGCCTCCTGCACGTGGTGTTCGGCCGCTTCTTCTGGGTGGTACGTGTCATCCTGTTCTCCATGTCGTGCGTGTACATCCTGCACAAGTACGAGGGCGAGCCGGAGCACGCCGTCCTGCCACTGTGCTTCGTGGTGGCCGTCTACTTCATGACCGGGCCCATGGGCTTCTACTGGCGCAGCGGCCCGAGCGGCCCCAGCCTGGAGGAGAAGCTGGGGCACCTGGAGAACCAGGTCAGACTGCTCAACATCCGCCTCAACAGAGTCCTGGAGAGTCTGGACCGCTCCAACGGCAAGTGACAATCAGCCGGCCGGCCGGGGCCCCTCGCGCCAGCGCCCTCTCTCCGAAAACAGAAAAGGAGAAGGAAAAAAAGAACACCAAACCCCAAACAATCTTAATAAACGTTCCAGAGCAAGAGAGTGGCGCTTTGTGAGGGTATTTCTGGCCACGTGTCGACTCCTGGGACACGTTCCAAGTGGAGTGATAGATCATTTGTGTGGAACTACCTGCGAAGTGTCATGAGTGGAGAAAATATTTTTTAAACAAAGGATATAACCGTCTTAGCTGTACAGTCAGAGAAGTTTATCTGTGCATAGAGCATAAAGTTAATTTTTTCAAGCATTTAAATACATCTTTTGTAAGGTTTTTTAATAAAGGCAGATCGAGTCAAGTTTATTGAAACTTTACGTTGAGGGGAAGAATACGCTGATTCGACGCTCTGGAAAAGTTTCGAGGCTGGCGTTTGTTTTCGCAGCGTAGGGACGGGTGGGTGAGGTCTGTGTGCGTTGTTTTCATGTTCCCAAACTGTGAGCCTCATTCCGTGTTGTTTTTGGTTGATGCCTTAGTTGATGAGTGTTGTCGCTTCTCAATGTGGACGGGTGTCTTCGAGGATAAACCTGAACCTCTTCTGAATCCTAGCGATCCCCGCCAAGCTGCCGTCAATTATATCATTAGATGAAGAAATCATTGTTTGTACAAAACCTGAGATTTTTTTTTTCCCCTCTGTATTTTGATGTGTTTTAACCTCAGTGTTTTGTAAAGGAAAATTCGAGGACCTGGCAAGTGTCTTTGGGGTTTGAAGCCAAGAGCTGCTGGGTAAGCCTCAAGGCTCACTCAGGAATCTTGATCTGATGTCCTAATTCCGCCGTTTGCCAGCTGGGCCTCTGTAGGAAAGGTATGCTCTCGAGCGTTTTTTCTGTTTCATTTTGTTTTTGATTGACTGAAGACCTTAGAAGGAAACCACACCATAGCAGCTAATAACGTTTTCAAGTCTATTGCTGCTTATAAAGCATTCTCAGGAACCATGAGCAGCGATAAAGAAGCTTTGGACAAGATCTGAATTGTTTTTCCTGCAATTTTTACAATACACGTGTGAGGTGCTTTTTCTCTGAAGTCCACTTAGGTGGTCTCTAGGGGCAGAGAGAGGTACATGCAGGGCAGATGGCCGCGGGGTCCTGGACAGGGGAGCCTTGCAAGGCTCAGATGGGGGGCTGGTGGAAACACCCCCTTTCTGGAACCCCCAAGGGTGTTGTAAGCCCAGGGCCAGGAGAAGTCACAGCTTTTGCAGGACGCAGTTTTGCAGGCTGCCGGGGGTTGAGACTGTCTCCACAGTCCTTCCCTGCCCCTCTCTGCGCCCCGGCAGCGCCCCACAGAGCCCCTGGATGCTGATGTGCAGAGACCATGCCAGATCGGGTAGAAACAAAACCTTACGGTCCACGTATCATTTTGGAGAGAACTCAGCTGTCTGCCCACTTTTCTGTGGTGTTTCTGTGAGTTGTTATTTTTGGTTGCAAGTATCTGGAAGACAAAAGCAGACGTGTTTGAGGATGTTTATGAAACTTCTGTGTTTAGGGTGCACGTAATGGGGCCCAAACTCTCCTGCATTCGGTTCACTTCCTGAAATGCATACGTGTTCTCCGGGATTTGCTTGGGCAGATCTTTGTCCGTGGGCATTTCAGGCTCGTGGTTTCTGGGTTGAAACCGTTCCAGTTTTGTCACTGAGATACTCATAGGCAAATCTATTTTAGCACAGGGTATAAATAACTCTGGGGAGGTCATCTTTGCCCTCCTTCCTTTTGCTCATTTGGCTTTTGTGTATTTGGCGTGTTTAGGTACTAAAACATTGCTTTGCGTATGTTGGCCAGGGGAAAGTTAGCATTCTCTGCACAAAGCTTTTGAGTCTTAAACCATCACTGGTCTGGGTATAATATCCACTCCCTGCCCCCTCCCTCCCTCGCACATGAAACTTGAAGGGTACGGTGCTGTGTTGAAATCTAGACAGGAACACCACTCTAACTCGAGTCAATCGAGGGGGGCAGGTGCGTATCTGGGCGTTGGTGGATTGAGACCACAAGCACCAACTGAAAATTGCTGTTGAGAATACCCACCATTTTACCAAATTCGCTAAGTGTAGGGTCTGAAGCCAATTTTACAGTTTGATGCACTCAAGTGAAAAATGTCTTGATGTTTAATGAAAGAACCTGCAGTTAATTAAGAGTCTCACTTCAGGGTAGAACCTTATTTGAAATTCTGATAGAAATCCTGGATGGTAGGTCTGAATTACTCTTGCTTTTTAATGCATAAATTTGACTTTTGTTCGGGCATATTCTTAACCCCAAAGGGTTTGTGATTCTTTTTTCTCCATTCCGTGGAAGGGCACTTGGCCTTCCCCCGCCTCCCCTATCTCTTTCTTTTTTCTCTCTTTTGTACGTGGAAAAATGTATTTTTGTACCATATCTCATACCTTGAAGAGAAACCGTTTTTGTGTCTTCAGGGCTGTAGACTACATTAGTGCGACACTTCATTCGATGTGGTATAAAACCATCCTGATGAAAACTGCTGTGGATCTGTGATAATGAAGAGGCGGTTTCTGAGATAGCTTCAAGTTCATCAGTGTTAATTTCCCAATGCTTCAGTATCACAATAAATACCAAGCACAGAAAATAGTCCAGAAAAGAAAAAGGACCAACTCTCTCTAAATTGCTGGATTTGTGTGGATCTTTTGGGGTCGATGTTTAGACGTCGACTAAACATGCCAGCAAAGATGCTTTCGTGGCGAGTAAGGCTCCCCTAAGTACGTTTTCCAATACCAAGCAGCATTTCCTGCCTTCTGGGTTTTTTTTTGCTTTACATTTCAGTGATATCCCATATCATTTCTGGGAACGAAGCACAGCCACGGAATTTCTGGAAAGCTGGCTTTGTGAATTGTGCCGGGGTCCTTAACTTAGAAAGTGAGTGACGGCATGGAGAGGTTAATGTCATTGGAAGAAGCTTTACTACAGTTCCACAAAGATGACGGGCACAGCATGCCACGCAGGGCCACACGAAGCCTGTCACACACAGGGTCGGGAAACGGGACCTGGGACTATGCCTTGTGACTGTGGTGGGGGGCAGTAACTGGGTGGGGACATCCCCTGTTGGGCACTAAGTGTAAATGTGCAGGTCGGGGCCAGTGGTTGGGAGGATTGTAATATGACTTCTGCACGCCCACGAGGGCTGGCCTGTGGGGAAGTTGTACCTATACCACTTTGGTCATTAGTCTGGCCCTGTGATTGAGTGGCCTTATGGAGGGGTTAGGAAGAACACGGCAGATATCCAATGCAGAATCTAAAACACGGTTAATACACCTTGTCACCAGTGGGAATCCTGAATTGCTTCATTTCGATGCTTCCTGCTACTGCTGAAGATGCTTTTGATGAATGACAGCTGCCTTACGAGTTGATACCTCATAACTTCTCCCTGATGGGTTTTGAATTGGCTGACTTAACCGAAAAGCCAGCTCTCCACATCTAGTTAGCTCATGTTAAAAGGAATTCCTAAGGCCCTGAGGTGTCAATCCCCTCTCCCAACTTTTTTTTTTTTTAATTATGTATCACCATTCTGCAAAGGTTTTGTTTACGGCCATTTGAGTAGTTGGACTTTGCTCCTTACTTGTGAATAATAGAATTATATATTTTGGCAGGACCTAACACAGTACCCTTAAAATTAATACTGGACAACCCTCAGTATGATGTATGGTATCTGGAATAAACAACCTTTGTTCAGCATACTGAATTCTGTGCTTTGCTCCTCAATGATCCCTTGATATGTCGGAGATGCACCAGGACCAGTTTCCCCTTGTGGTGGCGTAAAGAGCTGATCGTCATTCGCATCGTCTCCTGAAACCCTGTGGCAGCTAGCGGCGTTACTGACCCTGTGTCCTAATGTCTTTTTGCAGATTTAAAGGTTTTATTCTAGTGTCAATTTAATATCTGCATGTGTGTTAAATCTCTGAGTACTGTGTAATTAAATTGATTTCTTGTGATGGTGATGGTGATTCGTGCTCACTTAAAATCCAGTGAAGCAATTATTTCCCTCTTCTTAACTGGAAATCATCTACGTGAGGTGTGGTACCCTTTAGCAACAGTGTATTCACGATTCAATTCGTATTTTGTGTATCTGGTTATAAATTTTATATAGCATTTAATTTGACACAATATAAACCCATTTGATTTAAATATAGTGGTGTGAGTGTGTGTGTGTATGTGGTGTGTGCACATTTTAGTCCCAGAAGCCTTGGGAAACTGATTGTACAAATATCATATATAGACAACAACGTATAAGGCTTATTTTTTTTTTGCAAAGCGGTACATACGTTCCTCTTATTTATTAAATCACTGGCTTTGGTGTTGTGTAGAGATATTTGTAGACCGTTTTCAGAACAGAATTAAAATATTGTGAAAATTACAGCTGCATAAATGTTTATTGTAATTTCGTTGTATGGACTTCCTAATATATTTCCTCACTTCCAACGAAGTATTTGTGGCGTTTTCCCGATTTTGACATGTAGCAGTGATTCTATGATTCTGTTCCCCAATCTCCTACAATCTTGGATTTAAGTGTTCAGTGTGGGGTAGAGTTGCCAAAATACAGGACGCCTGGTTAAATTTGAGTTTCAGATAAAGCACAAATTTTTTTTCTTTTCTTTTTTTTTTTGTTTTTTTGCTGAGGAAGATTCGTCCTGAGCTAACACCTGTGCCCATCTTCCTCGACTTTGTACGTGTGTTGCTGCCACAGCATGGCTTGATGAGCAGTGTGTAGGTCTGTGCCTGGGATCTGAACCCGCAAACCCTGGGCTCCTGAAGTAGAGCATATGCCAAACTTAACCACTAGGCCACAGGGCCGGTCCCTACAAATACTTTTTTAATATAAGTATGTCCTGCGCAATGTTTGGGACATACTTATGCCAAAAAAAAATATTTGTTGCTCATTTGAAATTCAAATTCAACCGGGCGTCCTGTATTTTCGTTTGCTAATTTGGGCAATCCTAGCAGGGCACTGCAACTGAGTACACCCCTCCACCCCACCCTGATGCTTTTGTGGGTGCTAAAAATTGTTTCCCTAGCAAACATTCAGCAACAAATGTAACAGAACAGTCAAGGTAAATACACTCATGATGCAAGAGTACTGCCCCCGGGTGTATATATATATAGCCCAGCAAGTCTCACATGGGTCCGTCCCTAGAGCACAGTTTGAGGCTAGTCATTGTGACGTGATTTGGAGGTCATCTGGTTGGCCCACCTCTGGGCGAGTGAGCAGGTCAAAGGCAGGGACCCCACACCACGGAGGAGGACGCAGCGATTAGCAGTCACAGCAACTGCGCCGGGTGAGAGCAGGAACCAGAAAGATACGACA